TTAAACTTTTTCATTTCCTGCAATTTTATCGTAACAAACACAATAAAGTGCAAGGAAAAAATTTTTATCCACGATACAATGCGGTAAATCACCATACGCGTTGACATGGCTAACCGACTTTAGATCCACCGTTACTTTTGCTTGTTTCGAGTCATATAAAACTGATACCTGGAAAAAAGTTAACTTTTCAAAACTGTGGCCAAAGTAATCAAATGCAAAGGTGCAATCGTGTCGCCTGGGTAGGACCATTGATCCTAAAGTTCTTCACCGACCGATGACCAGGGTTGATCATCCTCCAGGAAGGCGAAGCCCAGTCGAAATTATAAAGTACAGAAATATCGTAAAGGTTGAGCCATTTTCGATGACATTCCAGTTAGACTTTGGAAAGCGACATTCCTGCCAGCAGATAAGATCTTCGATACGGTTTTGCTTTTTCCCCTCTAGTCTCCCCATATAGACTGGATGCAGAAAAATAAAATTAAACAGTATGGTTTTTGGAAATATCATTTTTTTTTGAAAAAATACCTCATAGACTGCATCACCCGGTGTAGTAATAAACTTAAGTTGATAGTGAGCAAATTGTACAGTAGCACTGCCGCTGAGATCTGGCACAAAACCGTCCAAATCTTTGACTGAACGATACTTTAGCAAGTCATTATTTGGAACGAGCCGCTTGACGTAAACAATTTTTTTCTGCAAAATATTAAATGGGTTGATTCAGAACTTGATTTCTTGCAACCAAACAAAATGCATTTAATCATGCTTTATCTAGTTCTCAGGAAATACAGCTATAACACAGTTCAACTTTTAAAGGGAGAAACTATCACAGTGCTAAATGATGATGTGACGACGAGGAAACTTCCACTGAGAAAATGGGTAAAAGTGCTAAATAAATGTCTGCTGTTGACCAGGCCACTACAGTATGGAAGACAGACAATCACAAGCGAAAGTGAGGAGGAGGGAAAAAGTTTTTTGCAAATTTTATCATATTCTGGTGAAAAAGAAATATATAGAAGCAAAAAAATAACCAAACCAAAAGCAAATAAGCGCATGAAGTTCGCTCCGGTTCCGTTTCATTGTTGAACACATCGATAACCGTCTGGACAAGCAT